TTCCATTCAAGTTTATTGTAAAGGAACTCTTGGGGAAAGTGACCATGTTGTACCCGAGTTCTTAATTTCAAGTGAAACAAAAGGAGAGTGTAGCCACGCATATATGCTGGATTTTTAAAAAGCCAATTTTAATAAACTCAGAACAATGATAAGTAACATCCTTAACAAGAAAAGAAGTTCAACGGGGAGTTTCTTTAAAAGGAAATTCTGAAGGCACAATTACAAATAATTCCAACAAGAAAAAAAAAGGTAGAAGACACACACAAAACATGTGGATTCACAAAAAGCTCAGAGAGGATCAGAAAATAAAAAGGACACATATAGGAAGTTACAGGAAGCCAGATTTAGGCTGAATATCAAAAAAACCTTTGTAACTGTTAGAGCAGTATGTCGATGGAAGCAAGAAAAAATGTTGTAACTGTCAGAGCAGTATGTCGATGAAACCAATTACCTCAGGAGACAGTGAGCACTCCAGTACTGAAGCCATTCGAAAGAAACTAGGACAGCCATCTGACCTGTCAGATCTTGCTTGATTTGCATTCCTGCATTGAACGAGGGGTTGGACTCACTGGCTATATAGGCCCCTTCCAACTCCACTATGCTATGATTATATGATTCTATGAAAAGGGAGAACAAGGACCTTAAAGTTGCCCATCAACAGTTAGCAGCTACGCAGCACACTAAGCAATCACAAAAGAAACCCGGTCATAGTCTTTCCCATTCTGGGGAGAGATAAGCACTGCATTTCTATTTTAAATTAATTATTCTTAAAGTTGCATCTGTTTATTAAAATGCACATGTGAAAAGTGCATGCAAAGCCGTGTCCCAAGGCATTCCACCTCTTCAAGCCTGGTGCTAGCTTTGGCTAGGAAAAGAGATTAGCAACGCAAGTGACGCTAAAATATCATCCCACTCCCTTTGGCAAATCAGTACGATCAAGCCCTTCCTGTCCTCCTCCAGTTTCAAGGTGTCTGCAACCTAAACGTGGGCATTACTAGCCATATAAGAAGGCTTTTTCATTCTGATGTACTGAAGGACTGGTAGGAATTCTTGGGCTCTTAAAACACTTTGCACTTAAGCTCCCATAAGCACCGGCTCACATGGCCAATGGGTAAGAGATTCTGGGAACTGTTGTCCCCAAAACCTACAAGCTGGACATCTTCCCAGTTCTATCCCAAAGGGAAGGAAGATAAAATTGCTGCTCATCTTCATTCAAATGGAAGAACAAAACGCATGAGTGTACAACTCAGGCTGTGTGTGTGTTTAGTTGTTTAGTCGTGTCCGACTCTTCGTGACCTCATGGACCAGAGCACGCCAGGCCCTCCTGTCACATGGGTGTACAACTCTGGCCTACTATCTGGAAGGCTAATGGGACTGAAAATGAGCCTCCCTTGTGGGCATGACGCCAACCTTGCAAGGAGAAAACACATGGAGGATGCAAGCCACATACAGAGTTGCTGTGGAATTTATCACAATCTGCTCTCAGCGGAAATAAAATCAATCCAAGCAGAAACGCCGCCATGCACAGAAGTCAGCCTCTTGCAGGGAACTGTCTGAGATGGTTACAAAGCCATATATACACACACAGCTGCTCACACAGCTGAATGCAGACACTCCCCTGAGAACCTAGTCATAGACACAGATGCTGCTGCTTCCTGTTTATTATTACATTGTATGTTTGCATATAATTTACACTGTTCGCTGCATAACTATTTGATTTCATTGGAAGCTCATGTTAGAATAACAGACATCTATCCCAAGGCAAATTCTTAATACTGATATTTCTTTAGAGATTACCATATGTTACAAAGCAGCCAAATGTTTAGTACTAAAATGCTGGAGGCAGACGGGAGGGGGGGGGAGATAATGAACTAATTTATAAAAGGATAGAATATTCTTGCAATCTCAGCTGATCAGAATTAAAATAAATGTTTCTGGATTGTTAATGCATTTCAAAATGATCCTTGCTAAAGCACTATATTTAGCACATTTAGATGTTAAATGAAAAATATTTTAAACCTCTCTATATAGACAGTATGAAAATGTTTAAAACAAATACTTTTCATGCAGCAATATATAATATGCTAAATTTGATGCTGTGGATATACTGTGAGAAGACTAGACTCACTAGGAAAGACAATAGTGCTAGGAAAAACTGAAGGCGGTAGGAAAACAGGAAAAGGGATGATTTAATAAGAGAAGCTTGCTACAATGACTGGAACCTGCAAAAGGTAATTTTTGGGATGCCACTCCAAGAATCCCCAAGCCAATATGGCTACTGTAGTCCAATTACAACCCAAAATAATATTTTCTTCTAAGCTCTGGTAAGAATATCATAAAGGAGCAGAGTCTGAAGACAATGCCACCTTCACAGTGCTAGCCTCAGGTTCCATATAGTCACGAATTACTGCCATCAATAGAACTGCCCTCCATGAATTTCTCTATTCTCTTAATCTATCTGAAATGACTGACCTCATGGCAGGGAACCTCACAGCATATATGAAGCATGACGGGAAATGATACCTCTTTGGTTTATCCTGAATCTACTGCTAATCAGTAGTACTGCTAATCCATATTACTATGGAGTTTGCCTCAAAGACAAGATGATAGAATGAACTTTATGAGATGAATAAATAGTAATGGTATTATGACCACATCCAACTTTCCTATTTCTTTCTTTTTTAAAATAAGCATTTAAAATCTCTCAGTAAATACTTAAGTATGTTGTACTGTGTTAGGCTTTCAGTGTGACAGCTGGCAATATAAATATTCCAGATGATGGGTCTGTAAGTGTAGGACCAGCTGTGGCAACATGACAACAAAGTGAAGCTTAAAATCTCACTGAAGCTTTCAAGTACATTTTTCATTACAGCAACCTATTACTCTTGCTTACTACATAAACTCTAGATTGCCAGGGAAAACAGAAAATAAAACTTGAAACCTCTAAAATTATTTCTGAAAGCCAATTTCTAACATGGTTCCCACCAGGCCATTCCACAGCAATAGGCATGTCACCAGGCCGTTTTAATTGCAGCTTAAAGTGGCAAGCTGTTTTCTCGTTCTTAACCCTCCAACTCCAGAATTTTAAAAATGGTACTGAGTGAGCTATGATGTATTTCCTGATACCAATGAGAACTTCTCTGTATTGTAAGTTAGCATTAGGGTGAGTTATGAGGGCAGCTTATAGGCCAAGAAACTGGAGCTCACCTCAGAATTTCACAAGGAGGTATGCTCCTCCTTGGACTCCAGGCTGCATGGGGATAAGATTGTGGTTAGGGCTAAGTGCTGCTGGAGTTCAGGTTTCATGTGGACATCTTGTATTTCCTCTTTCTTGGCCTCTTTTGTGTGAGCCCAACCTACCATTTCCTTTGATATCTCAGATAGTAATAGGTGTCCTCTGATGACTACCAATGAATGTCAGGCAATCTATAAAAATCATTCATTACAGTCTTAAAAGTGCTGTCTCCCTGAGCTAAAAGCCCCCAACTACTATATCTGCACTGTATAATCCGGCCTAGCTTTCGATCAAGACATACTCAAAAATTTAAAACATCACTGAATTAGCAGCTAGTCAGGACTGGATTTTGGGATGATGACAACAGCACTGCCTGAACGTTTCCTCTCTCCTTCATCCTGCCATGAATAAGGCCTATAAGCAGGTATTGTTGGGGGGGGGTCACTTTTTGTTGGTGAAAAACGCAAAACATGAACCTCTCTCCCATTTCAGTTCAGCTGAGTGCAAATGTTTATTCCACATTACCCAAGTAACTGTGACAACATTTATGTGTGAAACCAGTAGCCATTATTTCATATTCACATCTGTTTGCTGTGCACACTAAAGGAACATAAAGAGCAAATTGCCTTATCAGTCTTGTAAGCTCTTGTTTTGCACCCAAAGGAAACTGATTTTGATTAATCTAATCAAAATGTCTAGTACCTATTGCATCAAATGTGTGTTTATAATTTGTTTCTACAATGTTGCATATTTTGAAAAGAAATTCTGGCACAGTCTGATGGAGAAAATAGAATTATTGCATGCAAACTAACACAGGTTTCACAGCCTAACGTAACTATGTCTTGCCTCTAACCTATTAGCAAAGTGTCCCATGAGATCCTGATTAGCAAGCTAACTAGGTGTGAGCTGGGTAGATCAAGTGTCAGGTGGACACACAGTCAGCTACAGAATCGTACTCAGAGGGTGATGATTAATGGGGTCCTTCTCTAACTGGGGGGAGGTCACAAGTGGGGTGCCCCAAGGCTCAGTCCTGGGCCTGGTGCTCTTCAATATGTTTATTAATGACATGGAAGAGGGAGTTCAGGGAATGCTTGTCAAATTTGCAGATGATACTAAATTGGGTGGAATAGCTAATACCCTAGAAGACAGAAACAAAATTCAAAATGACCTTGATAGGATGGAGTATTGGGCCAAAAGGAACAGAATGGAATTCAAGAGGGATAAGTGCAAAGTACTGCACCTCGGAAAAAGAAACCAATTGCACAGTTACAAGATGGGGGAATACCTGGCTCAGCAAAACTACGAGCAAGAAGGATCTTGGAATTGTCATAGATCACAAGCTAAACATGAGCCAACAGTGTGATGTGGCTACAAAAAAGGCAAATGCTATTTTAGGCTGCATTAATAGAAGTATCATTTCCAAATCCTGCGAGGTATATGTCCCCCTCTATTAGGCACTGGTTAGGCCTGACTTTGCATATTGTGTCCAGTTCTGGACACTGCACTTCATGAAGGATGCCGACAAACTGGAACAAGTTCAGAGGAGGGCAACAAGGAGGATCAGGGGGCTGGAAACCAAGCCTTATGAGGAAAGGCTGAAAGAACTGGGCATGTTTAGCCTTGAGAAAAGAAGACTGAGGGGTCATATGATAGCACTTTTCAAATATTTGAAAGACTGTCATACAGAGGAGGGGCAAGATCTGTTCTTGATCATCCCAGAGTGCGGGACACGCAACAATGGGCTCAAGCTAAAGGAAGCCAGATTTCGGTTGAATATCAGGAAAAACATCCTAACCGTTAGAGCTGTATGACAGCGGAACCACTTACTTCAGGAGTTGGCGAGTGCTCCAACACTGGAGGCATTCAAGAAAAACACAGATACAGTGCCGTATTTTTCACTCCATAAGACACACTTCCCCCCCCAAAAGGGTGGGGGGAAGTGTGTGCATCTTATGGAGCGAATACTGGCTTCCCACCGCCACCATTGCCACCACGCTGCTCTTCCAAGGCAGGGAGCGCTTCCAAATGATGAGCTGGCTGGGGCAGAGTTTTTTTAAAAAATTCTAATTTATTTTAATAAAACAAGTACCGGTACCGTATTTTTCGCTCCATATGCCCCCCCGCCAGTCTTTTTTTACCCTCCCAACCTACCCGGCGATCGAGACAAATCTTCTTTGGCTTCCCATCGCCACCACGCCGCCCTTCTCCTCCCCTTCCGGGGCAGGGAGGGCTTCCAGATGATGAGCCGGCTGGGGCGGAGTTTTATTTTTTAAAATTATTATTATTATTTAATTGGGTGTGTCTTATTATCAGATGCGTCTTATAGAGTGAAAAATATGGTAATCACCTGGCAGATATGCTTTGATTGTATTCCTGCATTGAGCAAGGACTTGATGGCCTTGTAGGCCCCTTCCAACTTCACTTTTCTATGATTCTATGATTCTAAGCACTTTTTCTTAGGCTTAAGGCAAGCCCCCATTTCTTCTTCCTGTTTCTTTGCTTCTGTTGTTTTGTTTGCTCTCTCTTCCTCTCTGAATTTAGAGCAGAGCATATATGTAACCATGTGCTCCTGACCTCTGATCATGCAGCCAGCATGGTGGCTTTCAGCCCTCCAGCATGGTTAAGACTGCAGTTTCTTTCTTTGTTCCTTTGACTGTAACTGATATTCCACAACAATAAGTAAAGATTTTTTTTCTACTTAAGCTACTTGTAGAGTGATTTTTATACACAAAGGGCTAGTCACTGTGAGAGCAAAAGGAGCTGAGTGGAAGCTGGCTATTCTCCTTTGCCTTTCTTCTATGCTATAGCAGGTTTATGCTCTGTTAACTAAAAGGAATTTAACAAAACATTCCTCCAACATAATCTTCTCAACAAGAAGTTCAAGGTAAATAATAATTGCTACAAAAAGCTGCAACGAACAGCCATTCTCTTTTTAAAAGTCCCATTATTCTTTTTTCCCTTCAACTTGTACATCCATTTCTGCTTAAAAAAAGGGGGGGGGTTGAATTAAATCTTTCACCTACTTACTCTATTCAGTTTCCCCTGATAATAATTTGCTACTGAATTTACTATCATCTGCTATTGTATGCATGGCCCATAAATGCAAAGAAGACTCCTCATACTGTCATAGAAGACTCACAGGTACTTCCATACCTTTACTATGAGACCAAGTGCATAGGATTAGGTCTGAGAAGAAACAAAAAGAAAGGGAGAAAAGGATTGCTTCAAAATTGCCCCCAAAATACCAATGGGATTCAAATAAACATCACATTAAATGGTTGGCTGCTAGCCATGAAACACAAGGATCCACCTGAATGTACGTATGCCTGAGATCTGTGCATCAGATATGTGTGTGTGTGTGTGTGTGTGTGTGTGTGTGTGTGTGTGTGTGTGTGTGTGTAAAAATAAGAAAAAAAACTATCTTATATAGCATGGTGCTGTTATGTCCTAATTTTTTACATATGACCTACCGGTAGGAGTCATTTGGGGATCGTGCTGTATACTTGCTGGGTGGATTTAATAGTTAAAGGACTGGTTTTGAAATGACACTGTTGGAACATGATGACATAAAATGGGTTAAATGACCACTTTGGTGCTAGGAATCCTGTATGATGCCTAGTGATTCATGCTGAATTGTAATTATCAGCTCCAAATGTACATACTGGAAGTAAGCTACACTGAAGATAGTGAGACTTGCTTTTGAGTAAACATGCACAGAACGGCACTGTAAATCAGTAACCCTTTTATGGGTCAAATACATAACACAATCCATTTCTATTGCTCTTTTTAAAAGCCCTCACCATATGAAATTATAGCTTCCTTTAGCAGACGGCCATTATCGATAAAACGTATTATTATTACCCTCGTACTGGAATGCCCATGCTTCTTGCGGACTTAACAACATCCTCAAATCGTTCCATGCTTTCTTCTATTGAGCAATTAATATTTATTTTGCTGAAAGACTCAGATGCTGCACCAAAGACTGACACTTCCGTTGCTCCAGCAGCGATCTGAAATAAAACAAGATTTGAAACAAAACAAAAGGAAAACTGATTTTTCCCCCCTTCTTCTTTTTAGGTATAAAATAACTTTACATTTTTTTCCTGCATAACTGTCTGTCATCTGGAGTATCTGAAACCAACGGATGGCCAACTTAATCCTAAATACGAAGGAGAGGAAAAAGCCTCAGGATGTTGAGAAAAGTCATTTTCTTTATTTATTAAAGTTTATTACACTTTAAAAACTGCCTCACACATTTTGGCCCAAACAATCTGTGGTGATGTTTGTGGACAATAATTTAGTAATGCGTAATGAAGGTCTCTTTCAGTCTGGTTTCCAGCTCCAATAATGTACTGATTCTGGACCCTGGAACTAAACTGAAAGAGATCCCCATTAGGCATTGTTAAGTATTATCCCTGAAGAAATCCTGTAGGTAAAAAAAATAGTTGGCAGACCTATCCTACGTACATGAGTTGTAACAGGGCGGTAGTGAGATATTTCTCTATAGGCATGTATTTTCTGTATCTTTTGGCCTGCTGAGTCAACAGCAGCTGGGGAAAGAGATCATATGAATGCTGTTTTTACCTTTTCTCACCCTGCAATTCATCCTTCTCAAAATTTCCATTCCACTGAATCTAACTGGGGGCACAGGAGGCAGAATCCTATCCCAAATCAAGGCTATGGTATGTTTTGGGTCTCAACATCTGGGGCCAGAATGGGTGAATGAAGAAACCGATCTGGTGGATGCACACATACAGTACATCTCTCCAATGAGACACCTCGCTTGAGGGCTGACCTCCAATGGAGACACTGATGATCTGGTGGATGCACACATACATCTCTCCAATGAGACACCTCACTTGAGGGCTGACCTCCAATGGAGACACTGCCAGAGACAGAGTTACATCCAGAGAGCTTGCCAGGTGCACGCGGAAGGCCTTCATCATGGGCATGCTACACCCTCTGCCCACTTCACTCTGACCCCTCCACTCTCAACTGGCCTTCAGCATCGGTTAGCATTGCTCTCTAAGTGGCATTACATGCCAGTTGTGAGGAATACTTCACAGCAACTAGGGCTTAGTTGGCAGAGGCATAGAATGTGCAGCATACGTACAGCAGAATAGAAACCATGAAGATTAGGAGTAAGTACCGGGTAGCGGACTCCAGGATACTGCTCTATTCCTCTCATTACTTCTGTGTGATCTGCCATCTTAAAGACAAAATACAGTTTTAATTTCCTAAGATCATATGACAGTATCAGAAATTTAGCTAATGGTTATTAACAGAAAAATGCAGAAAGAGGCAAATTTAGTTTATACCAACGTTTAAGCAAGAAAAAAACTCAATGCCGATGCAACGAATACTACAGTATATTTGACTCAGAGAAAACAAGCGCCAGATGAGAGTTACCATCAGGGAGCCTCCAGACTTAATCGTTATTGAGCAATCAATGTGTTTCATTTAGGGAATTGTACAGGGACCAGACAACATTCCCTTCTAAGTGCTACCCTTCTGTCTCTTGCCATCCCTTCTTGAATCTTTTTCGTAAGCACAGACATCCATTAAGGACACAGATAGAATTGCCATTAATGCTGTCCTTTTTTCCATTTCAAAACCATTACATTTGGAGCAGGAAATATGACGCATCAGCTGTTTTTAGAATTCTTTATTACTTAGCATCAGTAAGCAGTGAGGATAGATGAAACTATGCAAAACAATGCTTCATTAACCAGATAAATTTACTTATTTCATCACTAGGGACATTGGACTGGATTCAGACTTAATTTTACCTAAAGCATACACAATGAAATCAGTGGGAAAAGCTGTTAATGAATAGCTACGACTCCATCCAGATATAAGCTTATGAATAATATGCTCATATATATGGCCAGTTGTCTAAATTCCTGATCCATCTGTGATCTGCACAAGTAGTAGTACAGTACTTCCTAACCTTGTGTCCCCAGACATTTTGCACTGCAACTCCCAGAAATCCTGGCCAGCACATCTGGTGGTGAAAGCTTCTGGGAGTTTTAATCCAAGAACATCTGGAGACCCAAGGTTGGGAACCACTGCAGTAGTATTTTTTCTGAAGTCGTGCAAGGAGATATTCAATATGGTTTTCACATGTTGCACATGCATGAACCAGAAAATACTATTGCTGGGCTAGTGTGCAAGCACAGGACCAAAGCACTGCTGCCCTGGCACAATCACACAGTTACACAGTCTAGCATGACAACAATGGCTGGGCCTTTCATTCTGCCAACCTTAAGCTGAATACTTCCGAAAAGTATATTTCCAGTCTGTGGATACTGTGTTTCCCCAAAAATAAGACAGGGTCTTATATTAATTTTTGCTCCAAAAATGCATTAGTGCTTATTTTCAGGGGTTGTTTTATTTTACAGTCATGTCATCTTCTTCTGGTTGCTGCACAATGGTGGAGGGTGGGGTTTCACTTAACTGGGGGTAAGGCTTATGTTATGAGTATCTTGAAAAATCATACTAGGGCTTACTTTCAGTTTAGGTAAAGGTAAAGTTTCCCCTTGACATTTAGTCCAGTCGTGTCCAACTCTAGGGCACGGTGCTCATCCCCGTTTCCAAGCCGTAGAACCAGCGTTTCTCCGTAGACAGTTTCTGTGGTCACATGGCCAGTGCGACTAGACACAGAACACCGTTACCTTCCCACCGAGGTGGTCCCTATTTATCTACTTGCACTTGCAAGCTTTCAAACTGCTAGGTTGGCAGGACCTGGGGAAAGCAACAGGAGCTCACTCCGTCATATGAATTCAATCTTACGACTGCTGGTCTTCTGACCTTGCAGCACAGAGACTTCTGCGGTTTAACTCACAGCAGCAACACATCCCTTATTTTCAGATTAGGTCTTATTTTGGGGGAAACGGTATTATGTGTGAATATGTATTCATAAACTATGTATTTGTGTTGTGTTCTATGAAGTTAATGTTATTAGATGGTTGGTACACACTAGATGGTTAGAGACAGCTTACATAGTAAAAATTAGACATCAGTGACATGACAATGCTATGCTGCTTATAGTTCCAAAATCTTTAATCCTTAATTGCAGCTTACATAGTAAAAATTAGACATCAATGACATGACAATGCTATGCTGCTTATGGGATTTTATAGTTCCAAAATCTTTAATCCTTAATTAAACTCAGAATGCTATCTATACTTCATAGACTGAGAAAAACCTTCCAGACTAAATAGCTAATGCAATGCTATCTCGATATGGCAACAGCCTACCTTCTTAACCCTTACAGCATAACTGAAAATAGAATTAGCAGGCTAACCAGAAAGCACAATTCAAGCTCCATGAAATATAACCACTGCAAATAAGGTTTATTTGAATGTATTTGTCTCCTTGGTATTTTTGTTGCAAGCAGAACCTTGTTTTAACAACTACTTTAACATTCTTCCAATTAACCTTCAAAGTGCAATAAGATACTTAGGCAATAAGTATTTCAATGGCACTTGTTTATCATTCTTGGCCATTTCAATTATAGGTGTGGGATCCTGTTTTATATGGCACCTTGCTACTGCAGAAATTTCACTTCTTCTGGCTGTTTTTAGTCAGAAAATCTGTGCCAAACAAAACATTAGTAAGGAAATGGTAAAGGAGCTTAAAAATACTTTCAAGAAAGAAAAGGGAGGAATGGAAACAGAGAATGAGAGAACAAATGATGGAAACACAACTAACTATGCTATTCCCATGACCTAAGAAAATAAGTATTAGGAAGACATGATCAAAAGTGCACTCCATTTTCAAGTAACATGGCCTTAGCGTATAAAGAGAAGTTCCTCCAAACATCAGCTAAGCCATTAAAACAAAACATTCAGACTTGAAATGAGAATGAAAAATAGATTGTTCTCCATTTCCCCCTACCTCTGACAAGCTCAGTTTAAAAGTCTTCACAGGAAATAATTAAAAACATTTTTAAAAGCTGGGGGTGAGAATGAAAAGGGTGATATAAGCATTAAATATTAGATTTTATTAGAAGGAACAGCTTTGGCACAACTGTCAAAACACAATGTTACAGAACACAATTTTCTGCAAGATTTCCAGACTCAGATTTTAGGAAAACATGGAACATGTAAGCTGGTGGACCCGAAATATGATGTGTATTGCTCCACTCTGTGGGGCCAAAGTGCATGCTATCCATGAGTGCATGGATAGCATCTACATTGCTCCCAAATGACTGTTGTGGGATGGTAAACATGATTTCATTTGGAGTATCATAGCATGAAGAGCGGGCTAGAATTAATTCTGGATCTTTCCAAGAATGGTTGTGTAGCAGAGTGCCAAAAGGTGACGTCATTCCTGCCTGTCCATCACAGAAGCTCAAGGAGGAGAAGCCAAGGATAGGGCAGGAGGGGCAGAGCTAGAGAGGCAGTTAAACAGGGAGACAGACAGTTAGACAGTTAGAGGGACAGTTAGAGAGTTAGAGAGAGAGAGGGAGATGTGGAATGAGAGTTAGGGATTTGAGCTGAGAGTGTTAGGAGAGGGAATTGAGATAAATGATACTGAACAAGCAGGAATGAAGTTACAAGTTTTGATACAAGTTACAAGATATTGAGTAAAAGTACATAGTACAGTGGTGCCCCCATGACGATGATAATCAGTTCCGTGAAAATTGCTGTTGAGCAAAATCATCGTCATGCGAAAACCATTTCCCCATTGGAATACATTGAAACCCGTTTAATGCGTTTCATTTGGGAAAATACCTCGTCGTTTTGCGAAGATCACCCATAGGGCAGCCATTTTCTGAGCACCAATCAGCTGTTTTAAATCACTGTCTTGCGAAAAACGGGCCCGAAAACACCCATTTTGCGAAGATCAAGCCACCGAACAGCTGTTTTAAATCGTCGTCTTGCAAATAAACGGTCCGTGAAGCACAGACCAAATTGTCGTCCAGCGAAATTCCCCCATAGAAATCACTGTTTTGCGAAGCAAAATGGCGGTTGCAAAACGTTATCATGCGGATTCGTCATTTTGAGGGGTAATTGTCTTGCGAGGTACCACTGTAGTTTGAAATAAACTTGATTGCATACATAATCAAATCCATGATAAGACCTGATACAGTTCCTACTTGATTTACCTTTATGATTTACTTATCAATAAAAGAATCTTTGTTAATTCAACCTCTGTCCTAAGTTCAATAACCTTTAGTGTTGGCAGCACACAAGTATAACAAGTATAACATAAATGGTATTTGGAAAATACCTGGTAGCAGCATGAAAGGAAAGGGTGTGATCTCTTGTGAGGGCCAAAATAAACAAAGGCAACAAGGTAGATTGCCACAGGTTGGAACTATCACTGCTTACCTGAGGTACCCATTTCGAGGAAACAAAACTTGTCACTTCTATGACAGGCAGCCCTGTTTTGGAAAGTCGATCAATTAATTCAATTTTTACTTCAGTAGGAACGATAGTCTATGAAAAGTGAAAGAAAAGAGCTTTTGTGGGTGATGTGAAGCATATCACAGGAAATCCACACATCTCTGCAAAAGGTATTTATAGCATTGTAACATATTTTTTAAAAAATGCCAATGATATTTAAGATATAATGGTCATTATGTACTTTCTTAAGCAAAGGAAGACTTACATTACACAATAAGCTATGAGTTTTATATAGGTTTGCTATCTCTTCCCAGAATTCTGAAGAAAGTACTTCATGCTAGTGATTATGATTCCCCCCCACCGCATATTCTAATAATTTCCATGATGTTTTGCTGTCTTACAAAAACAAAACAAAAGACAGGGACTTCACCTTAACAAACCAGTTGAGTTAAACAAAAATGGGAGAATCAATTTTTTTTATTTTAATAAAAAAATTAAAATTAGAAACCCATTAGGGCTGCACATAATAATACACAAAGCAATTTCTGGTAGTGCAATGCAGTTTACCCTAACCCCTCCCCCTCCCCCTGCCCCTCATTTATGGCATGTCAGACGCTGCTTCTATAAACAGAAATCCTTCACTGGGGACAATCCTTGTTCTACAAAAGTTCTATTGATGCAACAGCACCACCTCTTTACACTGATTTCATCTGCTAGCAATGCTGCCATAATACCATCGCCATGTCAGGAAAAGCATCACTGAAAAATCTGGCATAGTGCTGATGTAGTCCCATTCTAAAGATCCCCTTTCCTCGTATAAACAAGGTGCATAGGATATGTTTCTGTGAGATTGTTTGACTTTCTCTCTCTCTCTCTCTCTCTCTCTCTCTCTCTCTCTCTCTCTCTGTGTGTGTGTGTGTGTGTGTCTACAAACCATAATCACAAAGAGTGAGCCAACTGCATCAGGACTGTCACTGCCATTACTTCCCAGCAGTGATCAGCTGTGATCACCAGTCATGTGGTTATGCTGTGTGTACACACACACACACACAGAGAGAGAGAGAGAGAGAGAGCGCAACTATGTGGAACAAGACCAAGGAGAAATAGCACTCATGTGGCTCAATGTTCCTGAGTAGGGGGGACTCGGATTTAGTATGGTCCTCTCAATGGATTGTAGGATAACATAAACTGTCATCATGCTTCTAAAGTCTTTTTTTCTTAAAGTAAGGTTGGCAACTATGTTTTTCATGTTTTATCAGACCTACTTCATAATTATCAGACAAAAATGAGCAGTCATCCATATTCTCATTAAGAAGAAAACTATTTCTTCTTCCTTCTTCCTCAACACACTAGTATTTTGGTTGATCTTTTTTTAAAAAAGGAAAAAGCAGTAAAGACAAAGAAACTCTATTGTGGCATATAGGATATTAAAGACAAAGTAACAGAAAAGTAAACAAATGGCTACATTGAGGGAATGTGAAATGAAATCTGAAATAAATTACCTTAGTCTATATTTACTAGCAAAGGTGTATGTAGTTTTAGTAGGAGTGGAAATGTTATAACAATATTGGGACGCCAGACTGACCATTTTAATATTTTAGAGGCTTAGTTTTACTATTTTAGTGGCTTAGCTTTGGTTAAATGAAATATTTCAGTTTTTATATTTTCTTTACCACATAAAGCTCTCAGGAATTCAAAAGTGGTGTAGAAATATTTAAAATATATACAGTATGTGCTTTTTTAATGGTAGTCTCTTATATTGTTACAGCATTATTATATGCTTGATTTTTTATTTCTTCTCCTGTGGTTAAAAAACACAGTGCTCAACCATCCACTAATGTCCAGTTGCCCATTGCACAAGTTCTCTTGCCCTGCTGACCCCTGTAGAGTCACAGTGGCAGCCATGGAGTGCATTCACACCAGCAACTGTCAAACATGCCACCAACTCCACCGGCATTGCTGCTGTTGCCACCACACTCTCCATCTGCCACCATCCAGTGATCATCTAGACCAGTGGTTCTTAACCTTGGGTTACTCAGGTGTTTTTGAACTGCAACTCCCAGAAAACCTAGCCAGCACAGCTGGTGGTGAAGGCTTCTGGGAGTTGCAGTCCAAAAACACCTGAGTAACCCAAGGTTAAGAACCACTGATCTAGACAAGATCAGTTCACTGCAGAGGAAAGCCTAATGTGATGTAAAATGGTACACATTGGGCACCGCATTTATTTATTTATTTATTTATTTATTTATTTATTTATTTATTTATTTATTTATTTATTTGCCGCCCATCTAGACATAGTCTGCTCTGGGCGGCTCACAACATATACAATAAAAACAATTTAAAATATTCACAGTTTTACATACTTAAAAACAAGGCAATATAAGATATAACAATTAATTTAAAGTAAACATTTCCAAGATGGCATAGATCAAAAGGAAAAAAAGTAATTAAAAAATTAAAACACAGTAAGGCTTGTGTCATATGAAGTGACAACGCTGCTTTGCATTCCACCCATCCGTTCCCCCCACCGGGATGTATAGTTGTGGCCAAGGCAACCTTGGGGTCTGGATCACAATTCCCACAACACTCTTCTATTGGCCATGCTGTCAGGGACAGGTGGACGTTGTCCTAATGCCTGGAATGTGTCAGGCTACCTATCCCTGTTCTAGAAGATGAACATTATTCAGTTTCTCAACTATCTGACGCTCTTCTTGGTCCTATGCAGAGCCTTGTTTCCTGTTGCTTTTTCGTTGGAAGTTCGGTATGAAAAGCTCTTAATCAGCATTGTGAATACCATCCTCCTGCTATCCCTCACCCCGCAATTTCATTATGGCTGCCAGGCCAACAACTTCCATTTCCCTGAGATTTCTGTGCCAAAAGCTTAGACCAGGAGGTGGTCCTTGTGTAACAATTGCAAAATAATATGGGGAGGTGAGGATGGAATATGAGAATTGACTATACTATCACCTAAACAAATATTATGCTTGCAAAACTCATATGCTGAGGCAGGGAGTCCTGCAACTAGCTGGGAATGGAGAGGAGGTGGGCAGCCAGGCAGACAATAAAATAAAATGTTCTCTTTCGGCAGCACTGCTCACCCTGAGATTTGTCTCCTTGCCTGGAGACCTGAGGAAGGATAGCAACTCTGAGGCTTCAGCCAGTGCCCTGAGGTCTGGCAGCCCTAAATCTCAACAGCTGAAATCCTGATGATTAGCATAGGGAAACACAACTAGAGCATGCCCACTGAACCAGTGGGAATTTGGTGAGTCAACCCCTCTTGAGGTTCCATTGATTCAATGGGGCCTATTTGTGACCTACTAAGTTAAGAAATGGGATTCCAGCCATTGGTATATGTGTTTTTTTCACTTGGATGTTTGAGTGAATTTACAACCTTCACATTTACCCACAAATTTCATGTGTTGTTCACATTCTAAATGCTACACATATTTAAACCAGCAAAGTCCATAATATCTGGAAAAAAACACAAAGAAACCAACATTGCCTCTGCTTGTTTTTATATTTTTAGGATGCCAGTTAGAGAACCTTCTGCAGTGGGGCAGAATACAAAGGCAGTTACTAACATATTTATCATTTATAATATATCTGCAAATTAATACAGAGAACCTTTGTTCCCAAGGGTCCCAATTAGCATTACTGCCATAAGAAATGATCTTGGGATTGGATTTGTTGCCCAGGAGTGCTACACCTCAAAGCACTGAAGAAAGGAGAATCACTGTCCTTTTCTTTGTTAGGTATAACAAGTTTTCAGACATAATGCTATTCACACATTTTTATTTGCGAGCAAGGAATGTTGGGGAAGTTGCTGGACTTCTCATTTCTATTTTATTTTTAAATCCCACCCCCCTCTGTAAAACACTGATGAAAAAGTTATCAGTTCTTAATACGGGGTAGGAAGCAGAGTATAAAAACCCAAAAGATATAAATGAACAAAAAGACTACAGTACCGTCGTCAGCAACCTCTCCTGTCTAGCTTTTATTGATATGATACTATCTGTCTCAGACAACCACACCCCTCATTGTTCAGTTACCTTTTCATTCTGCAATCCGTCTCTTGGACCAACTTCTACAATTTTTACAAATTCAGGAAATCCCCGTGCAAGCAATTCCTGAAACATAATACCAAAGATTTGTTAAGACACAAAAGATCAGTCTTTAATTTGCTTCATGCAATATTTTCCTTTCAATGCACAAAAAGCAGTCCAGCAATGTGCAGGTGGCAACAAAAGAAAATTATCTTAGAATCTATGGAGCGTAGAATCCAACCTACAGTACAACGAATACTCTCAATAGGCTTCCCACAGAATTCAGGATATCCCAAGCAGATAGCATTGCTTCAAAGAACTCAAGAATTCAACACTGCCCTTTTGAGAAATTAACTTTATATTCAGACTAATCAGCTGGACTGCAGCTGTTTACAAATCAAAGTTTACACAACCAAGGCCAGAGCTCAGAATTGCTTTGTGGGGTTCTTGTTTTGAACTACAACCCCTAAATAGGTCCTGACGAGGATTCTCAAAGTTGCAGTAACTTCTCCAAGTATTTTCTAGGGTTTGTGCTAAAACCTTTTCTCTTCAGGCTTGTCATCATTCACAACACTGAAGAGAGTCGGGCGGCTGCTCCCCTTTCCTTGTGTTCAGGAAACTATACTATGTAAGGCTGGAATGGGGATAGAGTTAGTTGTGGTCTTTCTACAAAAAATGCTCTTATGATCAATTTAGGCATAGATTATTATAAGATAAGTAATTAAGTGGTTTAGGTATCTGGCTGTGGAGCCAGAAGTTGGGAGTTCCTCTGGGCCTCCTGTGAAGTTGAGCCAACCTATGTGGCCTTAGACAAGCTGCATAGTCCCAAGGTGCTCCCAGAAGAGAATGGAAAATCACATCTGAGTATTCTCTGCCTGGATAACCCTGGATAAGGTCACCATAAGTCAGAATTAATTTGACAGCACATTATTGCTGTTGTTGTTGTTGTTAAGTAATTCGCAGCCAGTGGGCCAAGCTTGTTCCCCAGCTACCTATCTACAGATAACAGAAAAGTACTGAGGATGAAAACACAAGTGTTCTTGTCAGCAAGCTTTGACTTTGATCATCAGCATGTTCATCTCCATGCTCGGCCCCCTTGCATTCCAGCAAAATTAATCGCTGATGTTACACAACACCATCGGCCAACTTGAGGCTGAGTCAAACAGAAGGAGAGGCATCAAAGAACGTACGATTTAAGATGTAACTAATTAACCAGGAACATTTTTAGTCAGATGTTTTTTCAAGCCTATATGACAAACTTACTAGTCCGATTAATCTTTTGAAAGCCATTCACGATGTATAGCTGATAAAACTAAATTGAAGCACACCGTCACAGGCTTGCCATGGTCAGAGAATGGTGAAGGTAGGGCAGCGATTGGCAAGCATTGCAGCCTAGTCAAATTCCATGTCCCTTGTGGAATGAGTTACTCCATGGAGCATGAGTTACTCCAGCTGTTTAACTGGACTTTTCATTTCCTAACCATCACCTTCATTTCATGAAATTCCGAGGAGAAAATTAAAGAGCCAATCAACTGGGCAAAGGCTTGTGCAGAGGGAACGAAAGTGTTACACAGACACCAAAGTAGAAGCTAGGGCCTCGTTTCTGTAGGAACAGATGCTGACTTGGAACCTCACAATGGACAGAGCTACCTGAAACATCCATCCATTGCTCAACCCATGGTGCCTCTCTTTTAATATGACAGGATGAATATCTCTAGAAATTGAAGGTAAATAAGTATCACAGAGCCAAGTTATCTTGCTGTTGTACCTACCCTTCACATTTGCTGACATGACCATCACCTATCACAAACTGATACGCACATTAAATTAAGTCCCTTCCAGTAACTTCCTCCAGTGATTGCTAAAGTACAGTATATATTCCAGTACATTTACTGTGCATTTATGTGATCACTGTAAAAAGAAATGGGAAACAGCTGTATAACATCTCTAATCACATGCAGCATCTGGCACACTAAACCTTTCTTGGACCAGGCTTGGCCCACACTTGCTGAGAGAATATAAACCTATTTAAATGTAGAGGAAAAACTTTCACATCTGTTGCTTAATCTCTCCCCAACCCCCACTCTTGAAAGTGCTTCTATTATAAATGGAAGACCTCCTTGCAAGGGCATACATTTGAGGCTTTCCATGATTATCAGATAATTGCTCTTACAAGACAAATGCCACATTCAAGGTAGGAACACATGTGTGACGGAAACAAGAAGATCTAAAGTGTGCTAAATATACTGTGCTTTAAATAGAATGCCTTCAAAATGTGCATTAAATTTATGCTGTCATTGTAATGTTCAACTTTCATGTACCAAATCTTGTAACAATGACTGATCACAGGCAATTTGACAGAACACACTACAAATCCTGCACATATAGGGAGTATGTTTTATGATATAATGAATAACATTTTTTTTCTCTGTTTCTGATACATATGGGTAGACAGTGGCATAGAAGCTTTTAACGGCCACTCGGGTGATCTACCATTTTGCTTCCCTATATTATCTGTGAGTAGATCCACATTTTGCTATGGGGCATAGTTTTCATTAGTGGCAATTGTTTTGTGGTTGGGGAAATCTTGGGCAGGAGAGCATGGCTATTGCTTGGAAGATGAAGTCTGAAAAAAAATTTATATTAAACATTGGAAAGAGGGAGACTGATGTATTGCTGAGAGATGAAATCTGTTAATATAATGAATTAGAATTAATGAATTATTGACTTACATCAACAGTTTTTGAATAAGCAACGGGATTATGGAGAATGACACATGGATTGTTCTGTTGAAGTATTTGTTATTGGTATGTTTAAAAGATTGTGTTTGTTATTTTTTAATTTAATAACAAACATAAAACATAAACATGCAAACCTAAAGAAAAAAATTAATAACACAAGATATCAAAAACAATTATACATAAAGTGCTCCCCCACTACTGGAACCATTTGGAAATACAACCCATTTTTCTCCCCTTTCTGGGGTCCCATTTCCCTTCCAAAATGGTATTGACTCTTGCACATCCTTTCCTCTTTATTTAATAAAAAAAATCAATAAATTCTCCTCAAATACCTGTAAAACTATTTTCATTATCAGTCCCTTCCTTACGTTGATATTACACATTAATTTATTATTACCAGCTATACTCAAAACCTCTTTATATCATTTGTTTAATTGAAAATAATCTATTTTTCATATGATGGTTGTGTTGCCCAATATGGTACTTTCCCCCACAGGAACTTAAAAAAATTACACTACAATCATTCCTATAGGATTTGGTACTGAAGGAAAATACCCGAAGGCAAAATTAATAATTAATCAAGTTCCAAATGGATCTGCTCTCTGCATACGCATACTAGTGATGTCTTCCTTATACCATAGCTTGATGGCTTTTTTCTAAGGTCCATACATCTTGGTTTCTTTAAAAAGTGTGGTAGGCGGGAGACTGTACAAAGGACACCTTAGAGATGTAAACATTTCTCTGCTGCATCATTTGGAACAAAAATGGCTTATTGGAAATGAAGGCTGCAGTCTTGTACCTAGGACGACACCCCGTGGAACTCAGTGGCCAAATTCCAAAAAGCTGCAAGTGTAACAATGCTTTTTTTTTTTTGCAACTTTCTTGATGTCAGTCACACACTCAATAGTGTACTCCATCACACAGCCAGACAACTAATGTGTGCAAGACAGGAAGCCATCAAAATGCCTCCTGCAGCTTGTGCAATTGCCGGTATATGACTGCATAATGCAACAGGTTCTGCCTAGAGATGTTTATTAATGTGTTGCTCTTTTACATAGTTTATTTTTTTTAATGAAAGAAAATAGTCAGGGACAGGTCATAAAGTGTACCCTTTTCCTCGTAGTTTTTTTAATGAAAGAAAATAGTCAGGACAGGTCATAAAGTGTACCCTTTTCCTCCAAATACAGTACATACATATTTTAAAAGAATTAATAAAGGAGCAGCATTTTAGTCTGTAGTAAGCAGATGGAAAAGTTTTAGTATCTCTAAAATGTAATATTATTAAAACCATACAATGTGAGTATTGGAGAGGAAAGCAGTTATTTCTAAATGTGGTGTCAGGAAAAATCTTGACCAGACTCCATTTCTGGGCAGACTTAAACTTGTTGGATAAGTCCAACTGTGCTTGTGGTTTCTCAGAGCTGAGCAGTGTCTAGAATTGTTTTAGATTCTTTTGCATTGCCTTGAGAAATGCCTATGTGTGACCCACCCCTTATAAGCTTCTTGAAAGTTGAACCAAAGTTCTCATATAGAATGAGACTGAAGACTCTGAATGGTGTTTCTTCACCAGCCTCCATCCAAACAGTCACATCAAGAGGAATAATAATGAGATCACCTACTGTACAATATCGAAATTGCCTCCTGTAGAATTGGAGAAGTCACCGTATTTGGTCAGAGGGACCAATGGAACCAGTGAACTAAAAAGGTATAGCGGTTTCTTACCCAGTGACAAGAAGGATATAAAAGTGGGCTCACCCAAATAAGAGGAACATGGTGCTCACCCAAGTAACCCAAATAAAACAACCCATGTAAACTGGCTAAATATAAATTCTTTACAATACCTGTTTATTCTTACAAGACCATAAAGTGGGGTCTTGACTTGAGAACTTAATCCGTATTGGAAGGCGGTTCTCAAGTCAAAAAGTTCTCAGGTCAAATCTGCTTTTCCCATAGGAATGCATTGAAAACCATTTGATCCGTATCTGCTCTTTTCCGTCCATAGAAACTAATGGGAAGCTGCTATTCTGCCTTCGACCACTAGAGGGGGATTTTTTTTCTTTTTTTCTTAGGTCAAGAAAGGTTCAGGGAAGGCAGGGAAAATACAGTCCAGGCAGGACAGTACCAGGCAGTCTGAAGACTGTCTCCCAATCCACTCTCTAAACGCAGGGAGGAGTGAGGAAGCAGACAGGCACCCTTTTCATTGGCCAACAGTTAACTGAAAGTTCACATTTTGCACTTTCCCTGCCTCCCACGTGGGTTTTTTTCAGTTCTTAACTCAAATCTAAGTATGTAAGTCAAGTCAATATTTTCCTATGAGAGTGGTTCTTAAGTCAAAATGTTCTC